GGGGGAAATGGGGTTTCTTCCTCATGCTAGAAAACCTGTTTTTGCTATAGACCGAGAAGGTAGAAAAGATAGCCTGCGAGAAACGGTGTAAAAAGCCTCCACGGTTTTTGCTTCGCACTCCCTCAACCCTCGTCGCCACCCCAACGCCTTAAGGTCCTGCATCTCACCGGGAGCGATCACAGCACCACCTGCTGCCATCTCGCCCAGAACACCGCGTCCCCATTATATCTCCAGAGACTGCTTTCCCTGGCCCCAAGGAGATCAGGAGAAGAAGCTGATCCTGGTCTTCTCTCCTCTCTTTTCGCTGGGCAACAGGCACCCTGTGGGAGTGGGGAGGGAACTGGGGGACGAAATGGAGCAGCTCAAGATGCCCTGCCAAGTGAAAGAACCAGAGTTTGTGGGGAGGAGAAAAAGATCCAGACCCTTTGTGCCCCATTGAGCCAAGGAAATTGTACTTTTCAGAAGAAGGAATAGGATGAAGACACACCGAAGCCATCCATAAGTGAGGGCAACGGTAGGAAGGCGCTCCAGGACCTCACAGCTATGTGCATCTCCCCTCGCTTCTGCCTTGGCCTCCCCGAAAGCGACGCACCCATACAAGTCTGCGGATCCCTCTCACCCTCCCCCAAAAAAATAAATATTTACCTCACCTCAGTGGGACTCCTCGAAACCAACTGTTATTAAAGTCATCCAGCGAGAGCCCCTCATCTTGATGGGTTTGACACATTAAATTGGAAATTGCCAAGATAACATTAGTTTGATTAGAATGGAAAGCCTAGCTGCTCTCGCACAAAACTGCACAGGGTGGTAGAGACGGAGTCTGTCTGTCCACCCGCCTGAGACCAAACAAATATGGCATCATAAGTAAAGTCTAACACCAAAAACTGTACATTCACTGTATTGGAGTCCCCTTTGGCTGTAAGAAGGACTGAGCCGTTTTAAAGTAGAGAAAATGAAGTGATAATAGATTTTTACATAATACTCACTGAAAACTACTGGTTTGTTATTACATAAGGGCTTACATGATTTTCATGGTAACTCTGAGGGTCTCTCAGAATACAGAAAGAGGAATGGGGCGATATGCAAGCTTTCGCGTTGTACAGAATTCTGCTTGATGAAGAATCTTGTTTAGATCTGGACTGGTATGTTTCTGCGCCGGAAGTATAAAAGAGATCACTTTACCGAGCAGGACAGGCAGAAATATAAATTGGCAAGATAATAATAAATCACAAACAGTTCATTATTAGAAACGGACAATAGACTGTTACAAAGTTAATTTCCACATTCCGAAGAGAAAACATAGAAAAAGAGAAGGAGGCATTTTAACAACCAGCTGATTTGGTCTCATGGACTGCATGGCTCCAGCAGTTTCTTGTATCCTTTTCTCCCCAAATGCATGCATTTTTTCCTAATTTTAACTCCTTGAAAAGCATCGTCTGCCAATTTCACTATTTATTCCTGCTTTTTTTTAAAAAAGTAGTGAAATGAACTGTTTCGTACGACTGGAAGATTTATGCAGCTCCAGCCCTATGGGATGTTTATTCCAAAATATCAATGATTTCAATAAAATTTAATCCCAGGTAGAGGTGCATAGGAAGGGCAATCCGAGAAGCGGAGGGGGAAAAAAACCCCGCAACTCTCCCGCGAACAAATAGAATCGCGTTGCAGACGCTCTTTCGGGCACTGTACTTCCATTGTTGCGGAAAATCAAGCAGGACGCGGCAGCCGCTGGCACCTGCAGAAAACCGCTCTCCTGATGGTTGTTAACAAGGAGCTGGAGGGCATAAAGCAATAAACGTGCCAAATCTACCTGTGCGCTCGCTACACCCTAGGAATAAAGTATCTCAACAAACCGGGGAAAGAACGCTGGCTATAACATTATATAGCCTCTCCTTCAACCACTCGAGAATCCTCCCTGCCACCACCCGGTTCTTCTATAGGACTAGAAAAACATTTAAAAAGTCATTGCGGATTTGGAAATGCTCGGCTCGGGTTACCCTTCCGCGTGTTGGAGTGGAACTCTTGTTAAAAGCAGGAGAACACGGCGAGACCCTTACAGCTGTATTCAGAGTTACTGAACCGACTCAAGGAGTTAACCGCCGGGAAAGAAAAGTGGGAAGAAATTAGAGGGACCCTAACCGTAAGCCCCGAGAAAGAGGCTCACAGAGACCTGTCTTTGCCCCGCAAACAAGTTGTTCTACCGAAAGAAAACCTCACCGAGCCCTTGTTTACGCAGAGTAATACGGGGGAAAATTCTGGCAAAATCACTAATGTCTACAAGTCAACTCTTCAGCCTTGTCCTGACTGGGTGAAAAGGAAAGTCTGGGGGTAAAAATAAAGAGTGAGCAAAAAAGCGAAGGGGCTGGGCAGACAACCTCTTGTTGATCCTTTCTTATAGTCAGGCCCTTTTAAAAAGCATCTCTCAAATCTGCAACAAATTTAGCCTCCCTACATAGTCTTACCCTACGTTCTCATAAATCTCAGTCGGCAAGGATGCTGGTATACCCAAAGCCTAGGCGTTTCCTGCCTCTCCAACTATCTCTAGCTTTTATCCATGATATTTTTTTTCCTACCTGACTCTTCTTCCGTAATTCTCCAAAGATCCTTTTTTGCCCCTGAGTGGACGCCAGATTTAAAAAACAAAAAACCCGGAAAAAACCACCATAGGCCGATTTCCTCTCCTAAAAGAGAACGCAATAGATCCACAGCGGTGTTGGTTCCCATTTAATGTCTTTCTCCGGTCCATCTTTGCGAGAGATGTGGCGATACCACCTGGATGTTCAGCTATAAATCCCCTTGCAAATAATAAATGGATTAATAATAACAAGGTATGAAGGTCTTTTTATAGAAAAAATGAGAGAGAATTGAAACTAAATGCGGCAGTTAGACAACCATTTTGATAAGAGGATAATTGAGGCGACACTGGTGTATAATTAGAGGATAATTTATGCTATATCCACTTTTATTCCACCTCCCAAAATAAACCCAGTCCATAATCATTACAGGCAAATTGTTCTGAATTTTATAGCTGCAATTTGAACAAAGTAGTGCAGTTAATCATGGGAGATTTTTTTTCTTTTTTGTGTATTCCTGATTAGAAGTCTAATTGCCTCCTTTCGGAAAGTAAAAATAACTGCGAAGCGACTCTATTTTTATCATTAACAATGTTGACAATAAAATAAAATCAACTGGAATTGTAATCGAAAGGCAAATTTAGGGCGAAGGCACTTTTGCTCGGGTAGTTTATATTGCAATCAAGATTTGCCAAACCACTAACCGCATGCCTCATTTGAATATATTTGAAAGCATTACAGACGCTTCTGTTTTCGGAGGTGGGGGAGGATGTATTACTGACGGATCTGTAAGGATTCGCCCTAGGAGCAGCGTGCTTAAAAGCAGACACGACTGTATCGATCAAGAAGGATGCCACGATATTGTAATGGTGTTGACTGCTTTATTCTTATGAACACCACGACGGGACTGGAATGATCTCTCACTAAGGATGACTGTTGATTTTGTTTAGAAATTAATATCAGAAATCTTTATGGGTCAGGATCCATAGAAATCCTTAGAGGGCTAGCGCTTTCCTGCCTTGAGACTCTGAACAGAACGTTTGAACTGAGTTGGGGATTCAGGAACACACACATGCCGCCCGTATATGAGGCAAGTAGTTATCAAGCTTGCGATTGAAAGTTGTTAGGGGACCACATATACGGTCTCTGTGTGTATCTGTGCGCGCGCATAGGTACTTGCATATATACACACACACGTACAAGTGTCTCTCTGCCAGCATTCGTGTGTCTCTACCATTCGTAACATGCGTAATTGAAAGGGTGCCTGGATTTGTAAGTGAGACTGTTACTTCAGAGCGCAGCCTTGTTGCGATGCAGCGCAGAGCGGCGCAATACGCGCGCGCGCGCGGACACATACACACGCGCGCGCACACACACACACAGAGGGACAGCGCCCGCTACTCTGGTTGGCTAGCTGGTAGGCTGGCTTCTTGCTCGCTCCAAGCTTTGAAGTTGTGCAGAAGGTGGGCTCGCGCAGACGCCAGTAGAAGTGCCCGGGCTTGGTGACGTCAGGGGTTGAGTGGCCAATAGGAAGCCGCTGCCCTTTGGAGACAAACCATTCCACTTGTGGCGTTTTTGTTGTGTGTGTGGGTGTATGTATGTCTGTGTGTCTATGTGTGTGTGTGCGCGCGCGCGCGGGCGTGGTGCGTCCCCTCCCTCCTCCAGTCTAAAAGCAGCTCAACTTTAAGAGAATCCACCTTAAAAGGAAAAAAAAGAGGAAAAAAAAAATCTGTGCCTTCAACTCCACCAGCTTAAAAACACGCACACGCGCGCGCGCGCACAACACTCAACCTAACCAAAAGCCAAATAACAAACCCCGACCAAGGAAAAAGCGAGGGAGGGAGGAGTGGAAATGAGAGAGCGAGAGGGAAAGCGCGCGCGAGAAGCCCCCAAGCCGTGCATGGAGAGGAAGAGAAAGAGACAGGGGAAAAGCCCCAGGAAGGACTAAGTCGGCTGCTCTTTTCTCTCTTCCTGGCGCGCCCCCCCTCCCCTCCTTCGCTCTCTTCCCCTCAGTTCCTTTCCCGCTCCTCTCTTCTCGCCCTCCCCAGCTCCTCACACACTCCTCCCCCCTCCCTCAGTTAACAAGGCCCCTCTTCCCCCTCGCGCTCTCGCGCTCTCTTTCTCTCCTTTCTCCCACCTCGCTTCCCCACCCCCCACCTACCCCACACACATTCACACTTATACACACACACATACACACACACACACACACACCTCGACTCGCGAAAGGGGAGGAAAAAAAAGGGATTGAGAGAGAGAGAGAGAGATTAAAAAAAAAAGGCATTATCTTCTGCAGTATCTAGACTCATTGGTTAAAATCCTGTTTTCAGCATCCAACATTGCAGTGGAGCAGTGGTTCCCAATCTTGAGTAACCCAGATGTTGTTCAACTGCAACTCCTAGAACCCCCAGGCAAACAAAGCAAAACAAAATTGCGCGCGAGCCCCGTCGCTAATTCCCGCCCGGCTCAGGCTAATAGGCTCCCTCGAAGGTGGCGGGAGCGCGAGGGGGGCGACGAGCCGGGCAGAGGCGCTCGTCGCTGGCTGCCCAACTTGGATGATGACCATGACTACGATGGCTGACGGGCTGGAAGCGCAGGACTCGTCCAAATCCGCCTTCATGGAGTTCGGGCAGCAGCCGCCG